TTTTTTGTCTTTGCACAAACGTTCTTCGTATATTAATTTTTAACCAATAAGATTTTTTTTGATATAACGTATAGGTGGGCATAAAATTCTGTAGTTGATAGTATTAATACAAATGGTAAAACAAAATTGAATTTTTTTATTATGTAAATACGAATGGTCTAGAATCTAACATTAATTTGTAATCAAATAGTGTAAACACATTTATTGATAAGCTTTTAAAGGTCATGAAGAAATTGAGTGATGATGGTTCAACATTAAACTTATAGTCAAAGCACTTTTTTGACTTTGTAAAAAGGAAATAAATCTTATCTTCTTCACAGGTACGTTGGGTTGGCAAAATAACTGAAACTTTTTATATGTACAACAAAAAAACTAGATGCACTTTTAATTTTTGAAATTGCCCTTTTATTGTTTAGTGTGATCAGTATAGTTGTGGTGAAATGGTGATCAATGCTTTCGTTAGTGTACAATAAAAGTATTACAGTTTTGAAACTTTAGAGAAAAACCTGTTAATAAAATTATCACCATAAACAAAATAAAGTGTGCATAACATCACGACGAAAAAAAACGTTCGCCCTAGTTTGAGTCTCTCTCAGACACAAACTTCGAGACAACCGCACTTTTTGAAGATGAGTTCTAGCCACCAGTGTTTCAGTTCCGATTTCTTCTCCTCTTGATTGGCGTTTGCTCCTGCTCTCTTGGCCTCAAATAAGCGGCCCCCGAAGAACCTTGCTCACCTTCCAATAGGCTTCTCTTGTCGCCGACGAGATCCCTTTGTGTTCCTCTCTATGTGTTTCGACATCTTCTGAACCTTTGTCATGTCTTCCGTCGACCTCTGGTTTGAAACCGGTTTGAAGCTTGTTGTTCCATATCATATGGTTACTGCAAATCCAATAGGCTCCATCTCTTACTCTCCAATGATTATCTTTGGAGTTGTGCATAACCTTCCTCATCCGCCTGGAGCCGCCAGACCCTCCGAATCCACCAGATCTATCAGCTGTAGCTTCATCTTAGCCTCCATCTACGCTCTCTCACGAAGCCTTGCCGACTTGCTTGCCATTAAAGTACATCTGGTGCTCCTGGTCCCTAGCCTTGTTTCATCCAGCCAGCCATCGTGGTGAGGACTCGATGTGTGTGATTCTCTTAGATCACATTGATGGATACCATTTTACCTTGTATTGAGGGTTTTGTTAGACAAGTTCTAACTGTTATGAAAGGCCTAGTCCTGGTTATTAGGTTTGGTGTCTCTTGTGTTGTAGATGTAGCGTGGAAAATGCAGCTCTTGCCTTTGGAAGCTCATATTGAAACTCTTCCCCTCGCTTTTGTTGCATAATTAGTAGCTCTGAAAACTATTTTGAATAAAGGAATTGCAGAGTCAGACATGTTTTAGACTCTCAGCATCAAGGAGGTTGTGCATTCTTTGGACCGAAGTATATCATGTTTTTTGTTACTTCTATTGTGTCCTTTGTTGGCATCTCTGTCACATATATGTGATCTCTTACTGTAGTATGCAGTATGCAGTTTTCTTTCCATTTTTACCTTGACGGTAGTTGCTTTGATATCGGTTACTCTCTTTTTGTGGTAGATTGGAAAGCAATCTCTAGTTATTTGCATCATTCCAGTGAATTTGGGTTGTTTGAGTTTTTATTGACTTGTTACTTCCTTTATGGAGTTTTTTCCGTTTTTTTGTCAAAATTCTGATTTTATATCATTAAACTAGAGGAGATTGGTACATCAAGTAAAATTGATTTTGTGATTTGATCAGCTTCCTCATCTTTTATCTAGAGACAAAAGCAAAAGACACAACTAAATTCTTTGTGATTTTGTTGATGTCGTGGATGCCTTAGATTTCTAGATGGAATATGTCAGATTTGATGAGGTTGATGAGCTGTTGTGAATCGGAGGCCATCTTGAATTTGGTCATGCTCCTTGTTGATGCTTGTACTAGAGCTTCCCTCATAGCCATGGCTTCTGCCATTAACGATGATTCGATCCAGGTCTATGCCTTAGATCCTTTTCCAACGGCCGGTTTTGTTGATCTTTGATGATCCATCCAAGACCTGTAAGTTTCTCCATGATGCATCAGAGTAACATCGGAGTCCGAATTCAGTTGTGGGAGAGTCGGGGCTAATCGTCTTTGCAACTATGTTGTGCTCTTGGGTCGACAACCATTCCAAAGCATCATGGATTGCCTTCGTCATCGTTTCCGCTGCTCAAAATGATCGATTTTAAAACAACTTTTGGTTTTG